TATTAAGTGTAATATGACTTGCCATATCCAAGCACAGCTTGGCTACAAATGGTTAATTAAAAATCTGAATCTGACTATTTACGTCCGTAGGCCGTAGGTATTGAATATATTGGTCCTAAACCAACTGTGTGAGAGGGAAAGTACTGTATCGTTTTTTCGACGGACGTTAAGGCCCCCACAGACGTCGTTCTTTTTCGACAGGATTACGCTAACAGCACACACGACCGGTATAAAATCGGCCGTCCACAATCGGTGTGTGTGCAATTAGCCTTACCCGACGTGCAAATCTATTCGGGTAAAGCCCATTGCACACACACCGATTGTGGACGGCCGATTTTATACCGTTCGTTCAAATTCCAATAGTGAACCACATATGGGAACGGGACCTGGCACACATGCTTACCGGTGATCGACGCCGATCACCGGTCGGAGTGTCTGCCAATCACATGTATTGAATTTTTCTGTCAAGAGAATAGTTCGAGTTTCTTAGCCGACCACCGTTCCTAATTATGTTTAAATCATCAACAAAGGGATTCACAGATATTAATGTACACTTCTTCGATGGAGGTATTCTATCTTTGACAATTTAAAATTTTTCAAAATCCCAAACAGTAACCGAATGCTTCACGTAATTTCATCAGCTTAGAGAATTTTATAAAGATATTAAATACTTCTGCACTTAAATGACTCAAAAGTTATGTTTTTCTCCCTCAGCAATATCCTCCGAAAATTCGACTAGAACTTGATTGGGCCAAAGGCATGAGTCACGTGTAAGCCACACAGGTCCCGATCACTACTATATTTGATTCTTCCATTCCGCGAGATATAAAATCTGCTGGATTTGATCGTGATGAAACATGTCAATATTTTTCATTTGCAGATGAACTATGTATTTCTGCCACTTTATTCGATACGAACGTCGATAAAAAAGATTCAACAAGTCCTATCTTTAATGCCAACTGCGTTTTCTGTAAACGGTTCAAGACGAGGTGATTGTCTTTTGTTATATGAATATGAAAATGAGTGTCGTACTATGGAGATTTCATTTAAATTCTTGGAGTCTTCCATGAAACTTACAAATTTTCAATGCATAGTTTGTGGAATGGTATCATCCTCTCATATATTTTTCAGATATGACGGAAAGCACCGATCGTTCTGTTAATTTTCCGTTTTGACATTTGAGAATCTACCAGATATATCTTGCTTAATAATAATAATAATAATAATAAATATGCTTTATTGTCATAAGAAAAACTTGTTGACAAAGCAAGATACATATATTCAATTACAACACCTTATAAAATAAAACTATAAATTATCAAATACTTCGATAACTTAACGTCAAATGTCAAATGTCAAAATAACTAATACAATCTACAATAAAATATGCCGGTAAATAGATCTTTCTTTCAATATGCACATCAAAGCAAAACTTTTAAAAGGAGTCATTAAAATATTCCTGTAAGCTGTAATACGGTCTATCTACAAGGAATTTTTTTACGGTCCTTCTAAAAACCCTGATAGATAAGTTAGTAGTAGACCTTATGTCAACTGGCAGATGATTATATAATTTGGCTCCATTATAAATTATCGAATCTTTTACTAAACTTGAGGTGGGGATAGGGAGCCTAAAAGTAAACTCACTACTTCGAGTCGAATATGGAGTGGTTACTGAAGTGAATTTTGATTTATTTACGAACACTAAGCACACCGTCTCTAAGATGAACGCTGCTATCACAGTTAATATTTTATTGGTTTTAAAGAGTTCTCTACATGAATCTCTGGGTTTAACATTACAAAGGCATCTAATAGCTCTTTTCTGTAGTACCAGAACAGAAGACAAAAGGGTTGGACTACATGCTCCCCAAAATGGTATGCCATATCGAAGATGGGCGTCAATTAAAGAATAGTAGGCGATTTTCACAATACTGAAGTTCAGTTCCTTTGAAACCACTCTCACTGCATAACAACCGGAGGATAACTTACTCCCAAGATGTCTAACGTGTTCTTCAAATTTGAGCTTATTATCAATAAATACACCCAAGAATTTAGTATTTGATTTGTTTTGTAAGATACCCTTACCCATGTGAAGTTCATCAAGCGAGCATTTAAATGATATCACATTGGATTTTGAGACATTCAAGGATAACATATTAGCGTCACACCACGATTTTATTTTTTGCAAGTCAGAAGATATTTTTCTATGCAATTCAAATGAGTTCTTCTCTCTCCATAAAATAGTGGTGTCATCCGCAAATAGCGTGAAGCTGCCTGATATATTAATTGTTGTCAAATCATTAACATACAATAAAAACAAAATGGGACCCAACACGGAACCCTGAGGCACCCCAGTTTTGATTACCCTCCTCTCTGAGACTTCAGTTGTTCTAACCATTTGTTCACGTCCTGAAAGGTAAGATTCAAACCATTTGTGAGAAGTTCCTCTGCAACCATACCGGTCCAGTTTCCTAAGGAGTATGTCATGATTAACGCAATCAAAGGCCTTAGAAAGGTCAAGAAAAACTGCTGCGGCTACATCACCAGCGTTTATTTCTGAATAAAGTTAGGATTCCACAATTTGCCGAGAATTTTCAATAGGTGACTGTCTGATACTATTTAGAATGGTTTGTCCTGATCAGTTTCAAAGAAATTTCTCGTTTCATTACACATGAATTACAGAGATTGTACATATGTTTTGGCTCATCCTTTGACAATATTATTAAATATCTGCATCAAAACCAGAACTATGGAAATTATCTAAAGTTCGGCCAATTCATAAAAAAGGGGACAAGTTTGATCCCCATCTATAGCAGGTTATATCCTCATTTGAGCAATCAAATTACACCACTTCAACATGGTTTTATGAAAGGTCGCTCGACAATCACCAACCTTTTCAATGTTACCCAATATATATCTGAAACCATTGATAGGAGATCCCAAACTGATGTCATATATACGGAATTCTCTAAGGCTTTTGACAGACTTGATCACGGATTACTGCTATCAATATTGTACAGGTACTGCTTTCTTTTTACCCTGATCTAACTTTTTATATCATACTTCACTGACAGGCGTCAGTATGTTATATTCAATGGATTCAAGTCCGTGGAATATGCAGCTACCTCGAGTGTTCCACAAGGAAGCAACCTAGGTCCACTTGTTAACGCCTCGATAAACGACTTAGTTGAGGTCATTAACATCACCTGTTTGATATACGCGAAATTATATTGTGAGATCAATGGCATCGAGGACTGTCTTCAACCCTCCCTCAATCTGAAACATGTTGAGCAATGGTGTTTTCGGAATAATTTTCCTTCAGACACGAGTAAATGTAATGTAATGACGTACACACTATACAATCTTCCATTTTCATATTAATATTTAATAAACGATATTCCACTTCAACGGCCTCTCACATTCACCGATCTGCGTGTTACCTTCGACACAAAACTTTCCTTCGTACCACACATTGAAGCCATTCTGTCTGTTGCAAACAGAATGTATGGATTCATTGCATGAATCTCCACAAATTTCCATCTACATCGAAAACCTTATACTAGGCTTTCGTCAGATCAAAATTAGAATATGCATCAATAATTTGGGATCACTCTTATCAGTTTCTTAAAACTTCTCTCCTTTAGATCAGAAAATATCTATCCACCAATTGAATTTCCCCATGATGCATTGTTAGCCAGACATGCTATGAATAGCTTGAGTTGCCGACGTGATTGTCACTCCACAATTTTTCTTTTTAAACTGAATAATAATTTGATTATTGACCCACATATTCTGCAAAAACTGAATTTCAATGTACCTAGACCAACCTCTAGAGTGGTTAATTCTTTTTATCTGCCAACACCACGTACAAATATTCTGAAACATTCATGTGTGTCAAATGCAATTCTACAAGTTGTCAGCTCGACATTTTTTACTGTTCCATCTCTGAGATTAGGTCTTTTCACTTCAGCTGTATTGTGATTTGACTTATATCCCTGTTCTCTAGTTGGGTGTAACCTGTAGAACAGTGTATAAATAAATAAACAAAATAAATAAATAAATATAATAGCTTTAAAAGTAGTCCAACACTGCCATAATACCATCACTCCTAGAACTAAGTATTTCATTACAGTTTTATTGGGGTAACCTAGTAGCTGAAATACGTTAAAATGCTTGATACCAAATTATTTTATAGAACACCCCCATTTAAAATGATAGCAATTCGGAATACTGACATTAGATGAGTTGAAAATATGAAATACCCCACCTATAGTGATATTTACAGCTAAAAGGTACATATATATTATAAGATGGTATTATTTTGAACAAACTGGGTTAAATTTGCGACTAGAAAATTTGTAGGTTGATAGAGTGAATTAATTGATGTATAATTATTGTATGATTAATATTTTTCCCAAAAACCTTAATGAATGAGTGGCGCGCCTAAATTTTGCTAATAATGGGCTATTATTTAGCCTATCATAAAGCTAAAACTCATTAGTTACTGATACTTCGAGATATAACTTTCGTCCTCGTAGTAAAAGCATATACCACTGATGATATTTGTCGCAGCAGCAGACGAAACGTTTGGTACCAACTCTAGGTTCCATTCGACCACGGCCTACTAGCCCGGATTTCGTTCTCTTCAAAAAATATTTTTTTCTCATCTAAAAGAATACCATTTTCAATTATCTTTCATTTTGAGGTACTATTAGCCTACAAAGTTCCAGTCTCATAGGTATTTTTTAAATGTCAACAATTGTTTTCAATGAAGACTACATCATTTTACCAAAGAGTCACTCTGTAAACATAGTAGGCTTTGTTTACTTTGAATTCAATTCGCTGCTTCTGAACCGTTTTACAAAGTTGGCATGGGCTGTTGAATGCAAATAACAACTGATAAACAATAATCATATCGGATTATTCCTTGAAATTGTAATTTAGTTCAAACAACAACATTGAACCATCGATAAGTGAAGATATATCAGGTATTTTTTCTGGAATCTCCAACATGTTTTCTTTCTTGTTGTTGTTATTTTAACACTGATGGATTTGGATAACGGTTTGACCGCAGTTACGATAAAAAAGATCATCGAGGTCTAACAGTTGAAGTATCAGTTGTGTTTATCATTGGTTAGCGAGAGTTGGTTTTTGAAAACACTGATCAAGTTACATTCTCACTTAAACCAGTTTTTTTTTAAAAATGTGTTGAAAAAACTTAAAAATGGATTTTCGTATGTTCTGTAAAAAAGTAAGTAGTAAGTACAGTTTACCATATCTATTGGTCAGTTTGGAATATTTCATGAAAAAAACAGACCCAGGTATAATTATCCGTAAACTAATATTATCTATCTACAGAAAGTGATATTTACAAGCAATTGAATAAAATATCTGGTCAGAAAAACATCGTTTGTATAATCATTGCAAATTTCGTGGAATTCGAATTTAAATCTAACCTTGCTAACACGTCAAAAGCATGTGCGAGCGATAAACCAAGTCTTTCCGAAAAATACGAGAATATTGGGGGTTCCCCATGTCGAAATTTTGAGACCTTTCATTTTCGTTATCTGCCTTGATTTTTATCCTAGACCTTTTTTTGAGCGTTTTTGGATTTCCATCTTTCTGCGATTCAATTGTGTTTTCAAAACGGTTGAAGTTTTGCAAAATTCATCTATTTTCAGCTCACAGAAACTGTTTCTTTTATTCAAATTTCATTCAACAATATTTGTTTCAACAGCTACCTATCAAAAAATTAAGAATATCTAGTTAACACCACAGCACGTTATCAAGGCAACATGTTATCAACAAATAAAAATTAATAATAATGATTGTCTAATACACTTACTCTTTACGTGTGTCTACATTGGGTGTCTACACCAACAAAGGCATATTTGACTTTACTTCTTTGAATTTTGTTATCTGCAAATAATACCATTTTCTTGACACATACTATTTGTTGCAGATAAATACAGTTTTATTTCTATTAAACAATTATTTTTTATTTGTAGCACATGAACTTTTTTCAACCAATAAACATTTTATTTTCCATCGATATCTTTTCTTTTGGGATAAGATTATATATCTATTTGAATAATGTGTTTCATAAATGTAGTTAATTATGGTAATTGTCTTTTCAGAACAATGTAGGTATTTTTACTCTCGTGTTGATTGATAATAATGAATAGACATTTCAGTTGTTCATTCAGAGAAGGTTTGTTGTTGAACAAATTTAATGTGCTCAAGGAATTTGAGGTACATCCAAAGTTTCCGAGGTCAACATGAAGATAGGAGCACTCGTAAACAAAAGCTAGTGAATTTCGATGTTCATCTGTTACTCACCAAAGTTTCAGCCATTTCTGACGCGCAATTGTGAGTTGATGTGAGTGTTTTTATAAAAATAGACAAAATCGAGTATCGAGCTGTCATTATACATTTGATGAGTTGAATTCTGTGTATGGGGACTCTGCACCATCATTTACCACAGTGAAATTTTGGGCAGCTGAATTTAAACGTAAGCAGTAACAGCTTGGGAGATGATGAATGTTAGGGACGTCCAAAAGCTGCAACTACCGACGAAAACATCGCTAAAGTTCACCAAATAGTGGTAGACGACCGCCGAATTAAAGTGAGAGAGATAGCAGAGGTTATGAACATGAAGATTTTGCACATATCAAATCAGCATTTAGGCATGAGGAAGCTGTTCGCGCATTGGATGCCGCGTTTGCTCACGTTAGACCAAAAACGTGTTCGATTGAACATTTTCAGCGCTCTGTTGGCGCAATTTAGTAGCAATGAATCGGAGTTTTGGAGCCGATTAATTATTGCAGATGAAACTTGGATACACTATTAGAGTAAAGTAGCCGATTGTGGAATACTGTTTTGTTTTTTGAAAAATAAAAATGAAAACTTCAACATTTTTATCAAACATAAAAAGCAGAAAGAACAAGAATAACTCAGAACAAAATGACAAAGAACAAAAATAGTAGATGTACGTAAGGTCTTTCTCGGCATCTGCACACACAACCTATATTTCTCCGCGAGTATCATTTGAAAATCTTTGGTCACAAAAGAGAAAAATTGCGTCAACAGGCCACGTTTCTAGCGGAAAGTTTTCTTCATCGCCTGAAGAATTTTGCAATAAAATGCTCGCGTTAGATTCTGAGCTCGATAAAGATGAAACTCTTTTTTGGCGTTCACCGGGAATTTGCAGCTTCTTTTGGTTTTTGGTTTATTTTGCACTCCACTGCATCCTGGTCTTGCATCAAAAACTTTTTTCTATACCATTTCCCCTTTTTCTATTCCTGAATTTACTGACTGCTCTAAATCCTCTTTATTCGGTGTAGAAGTTATTATTTTTGCCCGTCCAGGTTTTCTACCCCTGGTTGCTATTTTTTTCTTCATGGTGGGTACCGACTTAACTGAAATAGGTGAACATTGCCTTTCTTCTCTATTTTCGCGATTAAGGTCTGCAAGCGGTTGTTCTTAAACTACATCATCATGATGTGACGCTGCCAAAAATCTTCATCAGTAAAAATACCTCTTCTAAGCGGATAAATCCCTGTAACAGCAAAACTCTTAACAGCTCGTTCGGCGGAATGAACTTTTAAGAAAGCCCGGCCAAAAAGTTCGCAGACATCAAAGTGAATGACAGCACGTTGATTAGTTCTCAAGAACATTCTAATTTCTTCATTATAGAATGTTTTCAGTGCCCCCATCAATGTTTTATCAAGGGGCTGCAGATGTGTGCGGGGAATACAAAGAATTGTCACAAAATTTTCTTTAGCCTTCACGACAACATCAAGGTTCCTAGTATGGGTATTATGTCCATCTAGGATAAGGAGAATTGGATTATTTTTAGATGGGCAAACTTTCTCAATAAAGTGGTCAAACCAGGCAGTAAAAAGGTTTTTCGCGGAAATATAATTGAAGGTGGAACAAAATTCCATTCTGCGCTCATACACATTACAACAGTTATTAACGACCCCCCTTTCTGCAGAAGTGAGGCATCTGACGTTTTCCTTTCAATGCTACTACTTGGAGACACTTCGACTGTACAATACAAATACCACATTCATCCACATTAAAAATCTGGCTAGCAGTAAACTTTTTTCTTAAGTAAATCAAAGAATTCATCTACCCTCTCTTTGTTGAATCCGGCAGCCCGTTGAGTTGATGTACCTGTAGGTCTTCTCAAACTGATTTAATCCTTATGTCTATGAAGAAAACGCTTCATCCAGTTTTTCCTGCTGTTTGGTAGAGCAAAGAAAATGGATTTGATAGATTATTTTGCCTAGCAAGTTGAAAAGCAATGGAGCATATGTCCCGCCTTATTAATCCAAATCCCATTGTTTTTCTCCGCATCGCGTGTACTGCCATTCTCATGTTTTCTTCAGTCCATTTCTGTTCTTTAACATTTCTCAGAGGCATTTTCTGAAAAGTGAAAAATATTTTCAGAAGAAGCCTGTAATGTGGACTATAATTGAAATGAATCACAGTAAAACAAAAACACTAATGAGATTTATGTAATTGTGATTTTCCACCGACAATACTTTGTAGTTGTGGATCAATTTTACTTGTGCCAATTATCAAAAGAGATTTAAGATGCTCATTGGTTAATTGAGATCTGTAAACATTCTTTGCGTACTTCATCTTGGAAAACGTTTTCTAACACAAGTAAGTAGTACCAAAAACAGAAAACAACACACGAGCAAATTTATGCAAATTATCAAACTGTTCCAGTGGAAGACTCTCATAAAATTCCAACAAAGATGAATTTTGATATTTGTTCTTAAGCATATCACTCACTGCACCGTAAATCAATAATTTCTATTTGGACTTCCGGAGCCAGGGTTTCAATGTCAGAATAAAATGAATTTTGAAAAAGCTTAATAATTTCATTCGCAATGACATCAAAATCTGAAAAACGCGTATCAAAATTTATCTTCAAAGCACTCAAAGTTTCGTTTGCAAAATTGACGGGAAATTCAGTCCCTGATATTGGTGTATAAATCAGGGAGAAGCTGATTTTCTCCTTGCAATCTCAAATTCAGTTCGTTCATATGATTTGTCAAATCGACATAGAAGGCTAAATTCCACATCCAATCACTATTTTCTAAATTGGCAAAAGGGCGCTGCTTCTCATTTAAAAAAATTTCGATCTCTGCTCGAAGTTCTAAAAAGCGCTTAAGGACTTTTCCGCAACTAAGCCAGCGTACGGTAGTATGATATGGTAAATCATTTTCTCCAATCGGTTGAATAAACTCGCGGAATTGTCGGTGATTCAGCCCAGTGGATCTGATGAAGTTAACAACTGATATGACTGGTTTTAGAACTTCAGACATATCCAAACATTTTCCGCACAAGGACTATTGATGAATGATACAATGTAAGACTAATGGTTTTGAACCACTATTATTTTCTACAGCCTTTGACATAAGTGCAACCACTCCTTTATTTTTACCATACATATTTTTGCCTCCATCAGTTGTTATAGATTTCAAATTTCTCCATCGAAGGTTCTTTCTATTAATGGCATTTTCAACTCCCTTAAAAATATCTGCCCCAGTTGTCGTACCGTGAATATTATCAATATCAAAAAGTTCTTCATACACTTCATAGCTTTTATCTACTCCGCGAATAAAAATCAACACCTGAGCAGTATCTGACACATCCGTTGACTCATCCAATGCTAGAGAAAACCACTCATATTGTCCATTTTTGTCAGACAGTTGAGATGATATATTTTCTGCGATGTCTTGCACCCTCCGAGCCACGGTGTTTGCTGACAAACTGACACTTTTAAATAAATTTACCTTTTCGAGGCATATTTCTTCGGCTACTGCAATCAAGCATCCTTTTATCATTTCTCCATCGGTGAATGGTTTGCCACGTTTTCCGATTTCAAGAGCCACACGAAAGCTGGCGCGAGTTGCAGACTCTTGTTCAGTATTCGCTTTGTAAACAAAGATTGCTGCGATTTGAGTCCGCGTTTCAAAGCTTAAAATTTTTCCTTTCGCAAACTTCCTGTATACTTGGAGTAACTTTGAAGATGTTTCGATTCATAGTGTCGTTTAATGTTAGTCTTTGAAAACAGCTATGGTTTAATTAGAAATTAAACATAGCGCCTTATTACTGGACTCAATCACAAAATACTGAAAGTTCCATTTTTCTTGGAACGATCTGCATTCACTGTCGATTTTTCGCTTCTTCATACTATCTTCATACTTCTCCATACTATCAAATCACACATAA